GTAAAAGGGAGGGGAGCCAAAGAAAATAGACGTTGGAGATAGTAGTGGATCTTGGGCTTCAATGAAAAATTATGAGTGAAGCAGTAGGTTATAAGTGAATAGCATGGAATGGAGTAGTGGGTAATTGATTTGATAAAAGTGAATGGGAGTGTAGATGGCTAGAGTTTATTCGAATAAAATTGTTTCGCACAATTTGCAGGACTAATGAGCATTGCACACGCAAATACACGCGCACAGAAAACCTATAAACACACGCCTAAACACGTGTCAACAGGGCTAGTTTTATGTATGTAAGGTAGCAGATGTGAATGAAATACACACCACTTGTCCGAAAGCACCTGAATCGGCTGGCCATATCATGGGCCGGCTAATTAGGATCGCAGAGTTAAGCATAAAAAGTAGGATTTCAGGCGGCCACCGATCTTGGTTTAGTGCATTTTTTCGTAAATCATACCTCACGACGCTGAAGCCCAGCCAGCACATATGGATCGGTATCACAAGACGGTGAGTCGAGGTTTCCTTCACATAACACAGGCAATCACAACTCCAAAGCAATCCTTCCTCGCTTTGCGGTGAGGCCAATTTACGAATGTCTTCCACACGCCTTTCTGTAAGAACTACAAGTTTCGTCAACATCACTCAAACTCAGCATCATTTCATACAACAAATGCAAGGTACATAAAAAGATTACAAAGGGATACCGAAAGTGGCGCATCAAACCAGAGCTAAAACTCAGCTTGAAGCCTTGATTCATGAGAAAAGTATGAACCCTACCGGGTAAGGGTAGATTGAATGAATATAATTAAGGAATAGAAACGAATAAAGTTGAGTTGAGTGACTGTAATGGTGTGAAATGAAGTTCGAATACGTGTTATCTTGGAGTTGTTAGCAAGACTAGCCATGATAATGTGCTATAAAGTTGTCTGTATGACGTTGCCGGTGTGAAAGCAGCAAGACCAATGTTGACTCGACAGACGAAAATTAATGGGAGTGGAAGGTGGCCGAGAAGAGTTCGCCACCGGCTGGCGGATGGCATACCAATCCATTTGTTTTTCTCTCTTTTTCCACTTTTCTCTTGCCCTCAACCGTCCCTCTGGCACACAAACGCATCCGTCCAACACCAGCCTGCCCAACCCCTTCTCCCTATCGCTTGCCCGGTCCGTCTATGGAGTTGGGGATAAAAATATTCCTCTTCATGTCGAGAAAGTCGAGCCACTCCGCCCACCCCCGACACTGGTTGGCCCGACACCGACAGTTCATTGTGGCCTGTGCCTGAGACTTGGTTTTCCAGTACATTGAAGAATTGTAACGAAAACTTGTGAACTTTCTCTTTGACCAAATAACAAACGGTTGCATTCACTCACTCACTCACTCACTCACACATTCATACACACGCACACACACACACACACACATTCACACGTAGGTTTACTCTATTCACATGCCCCAGTCATTCCATACGGACAACGTCTCCTCGATCTGGCCAATTATGCACATATGTCACTTCTGTATTTATTCGTCATACCGCCTCGTTGGCAGGAGCAGGTTTCGCGAGTACAACACAAACTTTTCACATTTCCACTCGAACGCAGACAACAAACACACACTCAATACACTACTCTGCCGCACCCAGACTCTCATGACTCGGCCCAATCGAAAAAAGCACACACAATTCACATACACACACATACACTAGAACATGCTCACGGACAACCACATACACAAATGTACACAGACGAAGGTGAGGTTGACATATCACCGGTTGGTTTGCCCTCTTCTCGCTCCATCACATGTTCAGCTCACCTGTCCAAGGCAGCGTCCATGTTGAGGTGGAAACCAAAGTTTATCAAGCGGGACGTTGACGACCGTCTAGAAAAGGCCCAACACCGGCTTCCCACCTCGAGCAATCCGCCTCAACCCCCCTCGACTCAATCGGCCCCAGAGACCGTTGGCACCGCTGCCTTATTAGCTCGAGACAGGCGGTGCTGCTGCTGGGGCGTCCGAGGCAAGTCGCTTTTACACCTCCGCGTTTGCCCACTCCAGGCAACGTAACAATTTGGTCGTTTTTTGACGCACGCTCGGCACGACTGGACTGCAACGGCAAAACCACAAAACCACAAAACCA